CCGGGAGCTCGCCGACGAAGTGGGCGACTTCTCGCTCCTGAACATGCCCGTCTTCGCCTTGCAGCGCGCGCTGGAGACCGGCAAAGAGCGCGGTCGCAAGGTCAAGGAGTTCGGGGGAGGGCGCAAGCTCAGCCCGCCCAACGGACGCGCGGCGGCGAGCTTAGTGGAAGGATTGGTCATTCCCAGGGGAACTCGTTCCAGCACTACAGGCACCCCAGGAGCTCACGCAGCAGATCGCGGGAGGTGGCCTCAAGGCCACCGCGGAGATCTTCAAGAAGTGCAAGGTGCAGGAGACGCGCCAGAAGGGCGACGCTATGGACCTGGACCGCCAGGCCAAGATTACGCTCGCGATCATCACCAGCCCGCGCTTCATGGCCACCCTGTACCAGAACAAGATAGAGAGCAGAAAATCACGGAGTTGCTGGGCCCCCAGGCGGCGATGTTCAAGCAGGCCCTCAACGCGGCGATCGCGCGCCACGGCGGCAGCGAGAGCAGGTCCGGCGGGCCAAAGACGGGGCTCGAGCGCACGACCGAACGCCCGCTCCACGGGAAGAGCGGGGCAAGAGAGATCAGGCGCTACGGAGTCCACCAGTCGCCACGAGCAGCAGCCCGCCAGAGCCATCGGGGGCCGCTGCAGGCCCCGCCCCTGTCGGCACTACCAACGCGCCGACCGCCTCACAAGCTCCCCCGCCCACCGCGAGAGAGGAAAACATAGTTATGCAGATCAGTCAGGACCTTGTGCGATTTCAAGGACTACGTAATCGCGCGCAAGTACACGGCAGTTACATGTCGAATTACGACGCATGGCCACAGATTACAGAGACCCCAGGCCCAGGGACTACTTCATGTGACAAGTGAGAGGGGCAAGCCCGACGGATCCCAACACCTCCCCCGCCTCCCCCCCCTTCACCCACCATTACTATACTTCTGTTTTGCACAGTGACGGATACTGCAGGGGTCTTGGCTTGATTCAGTTCCACAGGGCCCCCCTTCCAAAGACCACTTGAAGACCGCCGAGGGACTAGTCCCGGGAATCGAGCCGCGTCAGCTACATGCGAAAAGTTACTACCCACCTACAGTGGTTAAAACTGCGCGAAGATTGTGAGGGGCAAAGGTAACAACAACACCGGTTAGGGCTCCATCCAGCTTCGGCACAGGGACTAACAACGTTGGTTCGTAAATCGTCACAGAACACATATGGGGCCCCATACGATGCTCACGAGGCCACGAGCAGGCCGGAGAGCATCGCCAGCCAGGAGATTTCTGCTTCCAGCACAGAGAACGGAGAGCTACTACGCCAAAGGCTACGACATCACAGAATTCGCACTCCGGCCCGCATGGGTAGCATTCTGGCTCCAACTAGCCAGGTTTCCAGAGACGAATTCTTCACGCTTCGCGTATCCCCACCAGCCCATCTCAAAACAGCAACTCTAGCGAAGCATGCCGACAGTCGTGTTTTTCAGGCGTGTTTCCGCCTGCCCCCGCATATCTCCCCTGTTCCTCCTTCCTCCCGCCTCCTTGTACATCCTCCTTGTGGTGGGAGCGGGAGAAGGACGAGGCGGAGGAGGAGGGAGAGAAAGCGCTCCTCGTGGTTTGAGTCGTTTGGGGTTTCTCGTCCTGGTGTGAGTCGTTCGGGCCCTTCTTCCTGGTGTGAGTCGTTCGGGCTCTTCGTGGTGTGAGTCGTTCGGGCTCTTCGTCCTGGTGTGAGTCGTTCGGGCTTCTCGTGGTGTGAGTTGTTCGGGCCCCTCGTCCTGGTGTGAGTCGTTCGGGCCCCTCCTCCTGCCCGTCCAGAAACGACGCCCAGGCGAGTAGAGGGTCGTCCTGATGGGCTTTTCGGCGTCTTGGGTGCCTCGGGGGGGCCTCTTTGGGCCGTTTGGGATCCTCTTGGGGGCCTCCTGGGGGCCTCTTGGGGCCATCTTGGGGCCTCTTGGTGCCTCCTGGGCGCTTCTTGGGGCCATCTTGGAGGAAATCGATCAAGGAAGAGGGGAGCTTTAATTAGCGCTGCCCCCTCAGAAGGCCAAAATGGGGCCAAAACCTTAGTAAAATCAATGATTCTGGCTTGAAAGAAGAGGGAAGCTTTAATTAGCGCTGCCCCCTCAGAAGGCCAAAATGGGGCCAACACTGTAGTAAAATCAATGATTTTGGCTTCAAAGAAGAGGGGAGCATTTTTCTGCCTCCCCCCGTCGGGGCCAGAATCCTCGTGAGGGGTGTCGTTTTTTAGCCCTCCCAGGAGTCGAAAAAGACCCCTCTGACCACCCGCGGGGCGCCCTCTCCAGGCCCAGGGGGAGGGGGTAGGGAGGGGGGTTGAGAACAGAGAGAGCTCCCTAAACCACTCACGCCCAAAGGGCTGGTGGGATTTCGAGGATGCATTGAACTTATCTTGTACTTCGCACGTGCCGGCACTCAGTGCACACGGATGCGTACAACATCGACCTATCTTCAGAGTCGCGTGGAGAGAATCGTCAATCTCCCTGGAGCTCTGGTGTGCGGTGTCGCCTGCTGCCACCCGTGGGGTCCATGTCGGTATGTATGTACGTATGTATGTATGGATGGATGGATGGACGGATGGACGTATGCAGGTATTCATGTATGTATGTGTGTATCTATGTATGTGTGTGCATGCGTATGTTTGCATATATGTGTGTGTCTTACATACGTTGTTTCATACACATACATGTACACAATGTATGTGATACATTTACTGATACACACTCGTGCGTTTTCGACAGCCCAACAGTCCCCCAAGGCTCTCCAAGCTGGCCCCCCGACGGGTCTGGAAGCCCCTGGAATCATCCGGTATCGCTCCAAACAATTTCCATGACCCCCCAGAGCTCCAGGAAGGCCTTCGAGTGGCCAAACCACTTGCACAACTTTATGGCGCATCCATGACTTTCAGTTTTCTCCCATTTCCGCCTCCGACGCGCCTCCGAGGCTTGCGCATGCCCCCAAGAGAGCTCCAATAGGCCCCCTAAAGGCGTCCCGAGCGGCGCGAAATAGCTCCAAGAGGCCGCAAGAGGTTCCCGCGACGCCCGAAGGGGTACCTCCGAGGCCCCAAAGACGCTCCGAGCAGGCCCCAACGAACTTTCAGAACTTTCAGCGGCCGAAGAGGGTCTCGAAGGGCCCTGAAGAGCTCCCCAAAGGCCCCCCGAGAGCTCCAAGATGCCCCCAAGAGGCGTCCCGAGTGGCTTTTGGGGGCATGCGCAAGACTCGGAAGCGCATCGGTGGTCGAGGGTTTACCTGGAGTTCTTCGGGGACTCTTGCAGGGCTCTTTGGGCGATCTTGGGTACTTTTCGGAGCCTCCAGAGCCAACCTGGAAAAAGGAGAGACTTCCCTCACATCTTTTTTTTACCTCAAGCTCGACTCCCCCCTCCGTTCCCCCCTGACCCAGGCTTCGGCGTTCTCCAGAGTTCGTTTCCGTTTTCTCAATCCCTCGTTGTCCGTTCTTTTTGTTCTTTTTGTTGTTCTTGGTTCTCTTCCGCCTCCCGTTCCGCATCCTTCTCCTTCCTCTTCTCTGGATCCCGAAGCCTCCTCCCTGCTGCGTAATGTTCTTGTCTCTCCTTCAGTCCTTCTTCTCTACGCCTCCCTCATGCCCCTCCGCCTCCCTCACCCAGCATCCTGCTCCACAATGTGGCGGGAGGCCCAGCTTGGAAAAAAGGAAGTCACTCTCATCTGTTTTTTTTCTATGGTTTCCCCCTCCCTCAGTTTTCTCCCTGCCCCAGGCTTTGGCGTGCCCCCTGGTGCGTTTCCAGTTTCCCCACGAATCGCTGTCCGTTCGCTCTGATCTCTCTTTTTTTCTCTGCTGTTGGTTCTCTTCCGTCTCCCGTTCCCCCTTCTTCCTCTCCTCCCTCCGTCCCGCTGCGTCATTTACCCGTCTCTCCTTCACGCCTCCCCCTCTCCGCCTCCCTCATGCGTTTCCGTCTCTCCTACCTCTCATTCTTATCTCTCCAGCCCTCCTTCCCCTCCGCCTCGCTCACCCAGCAACCTGCTCCACTACGTGCTGGGAGGCCCAGACTGAAAAAGTGGAATCCCTCTATGTAATCTTCTTTTTCAGGGTCTACCTCCCCCTCTGTTTTCTCCTGTCCCCCAGGCTTTGGCGTGCTCCTGAGTGCGTTTCCGGTTTCGCCATGCCTCGCTGTCCGGTCTTTTTGATTTTTTTTTGTTTTGATTTTGGTTCTCACCCGTCTCCCGTTCCACAACCTTTTTTTTTCCTCCCTCCTCCTCGCTGCCTCATTTTCCCTCCTTCCTCGTCTCTCCTTCACGCCTTCCTCTGTCCGCCTCCCTTAAGCGTTTCCGTCTCCCCCACCCCTCGCTGATCGTTCTCCCTGATCTCGTTGTTGCTCGCTGTTCTCCTGCGTCTTCCGTTCCACGTCTTTCTCCTTCCTCTTCCCTCCTTCCTCCCCGCTGCGTCCTTTTCCCTCTTCCCTCCTCCTCGTTTCTCCTTCATGTGTGGTTTCTTAATGGATTTGGCCTCTCGAGGGCTTCCCTGGAGCGCTTGGGGGACTCTCAGAGCCAACTTGAAAACATGGAATTCCTTCAAATCATTTCTACCCCACGCATCCGTTCCCTCCTGTCCCAGTCTTTGGCATCCCCAGAGTGCGTTTCCGTTTACCCCATCCCTCGCTGTCCGTTCTCTTTGATCTCTTTTTTTTCTTTTGGTTCTATTCCGTCTCCCGTTCCACATCTTTCTCTTTCCTCTCCTCCTCTGTTCTCCCCATTGCGTCCCTTTGCCTCCCTCCGCTTCGTCTCTCCTTCACGCCTTCCTCTCTCCGCCTCCTTTCATGCGTGTTCGGTTTTCAAACGCTCCAAGACGGCCCAAGAGGTTCCCACGACAGCACCAAGGCAGCACAAAAGGTCTCCGCGACGGCCCGAAAACGACCCGAGAGAGCTCCAAGACAGCCCAAGAGGCCTCCGTAGCCATTTTGGCCTTGTGGCGCAAATACTCGACTCGATTATCTCGAGTGTGGCTGGTGCCATAGGCCCAATCGGAACGGCAGTCAGTAATGGCGGAAGTAATGCCGGATCGCAAAGGTTCCGCGACTGGCATCAAGGATGTGGAGCGACGATACCCGATTTCGTGGTCTGGGCTTAGTCATACAGTCTCGTTGCGGGGTGGTAGGAGTAAGACAATTGTGAGCAATGTGTCTGGTCATTGCGACCCAGGACAAATGATGGCCATCATGGGACCCTCGGGATGCGGCAAGACATCGTTGCTTGACCTCTTGGGCGGTCGTGTGGGCAGCGGCACCACCTCGGGCGAGATTCTGATCGGCTGTAAGCAGCACCCCGCTAACATCCGCAAGATCGTCAGTTACGTTACGCAGGAGGATTCGCTCCTGACTTGCTTCACCGTGCGCGAGACGCTGCGGTACGCCTCGCGGCTCGCTGCGATCCCCTCGAAGGCCAGAGAGGAGGCAATCCAGCAGGTCATCGTGCAGATGGGACTGCTGGTTTGCGCCGACACCCGCGTCGGAGACCCGCTGATCAAAGGCATCTCGGGTGGCCAGAAGCGCCGTCTGAGCATCGCCATCGAACTGTTGCATCGGTCCCCCATCCTCTTGCTGGACGAGCCGACGTCGGGCCTGGACTCCACGGCCGCCATGCAGGTGATCGAGCATTTGCGCGATGTCGCGCAGAAGGGCCACACCGTTGTCATGAGCATTCACCAGGCGAGCTCCAGGGCATACGGTCTCTTCGACTCGCTGTGCCTGCTGTCGAAGGGCCAACAGGTCTACTTCGGCCCCACGACCGACGTCGCCATCGAGCACTTTGCCGCGCAGGGCCACGAGTGCCCGCGGTATTCCAACCCTGCGGAGTTCTTCCTCGACGTCATCAACACCGACTTCGGGGCAGAGAACGGCGGGGCGAGGCTGGAGGGCCTTGTCAGGGCCTTCGAGAAGTCCGAGCTGGCGAGCTCCATGCGGGAGGCCCTGAGGCAGCAAGAGATCCCGCAGGATGGCGGGGTCTCCCGGGAGAGCGCAGGCCCGTTCCGCCAGTTTGCCGTCCTGTTGCTGCGGATGCTGCACATGAACTAGAAGAATCCGTACATATTCGGTGTGCGCCTGGCCATGTACATCGCGCTTGCGTTCATGGTCGGAACCATGTACTACGACGTGGGTGAGGTGGCTCGTGGAGGTGAGCCTGTTGCCGCTGCAGCCGCGGCCACCTCGCTCCTGGCTCTGCTGTTCTACGTGCAGGCATTTCTCGTCTTCATGTCCGTCGCGATCCTCCCGTTCTTCCTCGAGATCAGGGACGTCTTCCGGCGGGAACGAGCCAACGGACAGATCACCTGTCTGCCGTACGTGCTCGCCGACTTCCTCGCCGGACTTCCCGGCGTCACTCTCATTGCTCTGATCTCCACGATGCTCGTCGTGTGGCTGGCGAATCTCAATGGCTTCGCCCAGTTCTTCGCGAACCTGCTGCTGTCTCTGATCGTGGCCGAGTCCCTCATGCACGTGATCGGCGCCGCCCAGCCACACTACATTAGAAAGAGCGTGTTCTACCGCTGCTGGCGGAAAACCGGGGGGGGTCACTACCGGTTCGAACCCCTCCCCCCCCCCCCCCCCCCCTCCGGAAAACCGGGGGGGTCACTACCGGTTCGAACCCCTCCCCCCCCCCCCCCCCCTGCTCATCATGAAAAGGGGGGGGGGGTCACTACCGGTTCGAACCCCTCCCCCCCCCCCTCCGGATCCGGAAAACCGGGGGGGGTCACTACCGGTTCGAACCCCCCCCCCCTCGAAAACCGAGTGGGGGTGCGGACAGTGGTGGGGACGGTGTTGGTGGGGACAGTGGTGAGGGGATAGCGGGACAGTGGTGGGGACAGTGGGACAGTGGGACAGTGGTGGGGACGGTAGTGGTGGGGACAGTGGTGGGGACAATGGTGGGAACAGGGGGGGACAGTGGACAGTGGTGGTGACGGTGGTGGTGGGGACAGTGGTGTGGGGACAATGGGAATGAGGTGGAAACAGTGGGACAGTGGAGGGTACAATGGTGGTGGGGACAGTGGTGAAGGCGGTGGCGAGGACGGCGGTGGGACAATGGGACAGAGGTACAGTGGGGACAGTGGTGGGGACAGTGGGGACAGTGGTGGGAACAGTGGGACAGCTCAGTGGGACAGCGGAGGAGTCAGTGGGACAGTGGGGACAGTGGGGATAGTCGGGCAGTGGTTGGGGCCGTGGAGACAGTGGGGAGAGTGGAACCGTGGTGGGAACAGTTCTGGGGACAGCGGGGACAGTGCGACAGTGGTGGGGCCACTGGTGGGGACAGTAGGGGCGGTGGTGGAACCAGTGGGGACAGCGGTGGTGAGGACAGTGGTGCTGGGAACACCAGTGGGGGATGTGATGCGGACGGTGGTGGGGACCGGGAGTCGTTTGCTGGCGGTGAGTAGGGGGGGGGGGGAAAGGGGAAGGGGGGGTTCGAACCGGTAGTGACCCCCCTTCGGTTTTCCGGATCCGGAGGGGGGGGGGGGGGGGGGGGGGGGGAGGGGTTCGAACCCGTAGTGACCCCCCCCCGTTTTTCGAGCGGGAGGGGGGGGGGGGGGGGGAGGGGTTAGGGGAGGGGGGGTTTTGCCGGGGAGGGGGGGGGGGGGAGGGGTTTCCAGCAGGGGGGGAGGGATTTTCGGAGGGGGGGGGGGGGGGGCGAGGGCTCCGGGGGGGTTTCCACAGCGGCGGTGACCCCCGGGCTCCGGAGGAAAAGGCTGGCAACTTTCCACAGTAAAGCGGCGGTGGATCACGCTCTCTCCTACATTATCGGCATGGCATTCGGGGCGGGCCTCTTCGGCATGTTCATGCTCTGCGAGGGATTCATGGTCAAGCCCCAGGACATCCCGGACGGCTGGGTCTGGGGCTATTACCTCGCCTTCCACACTTACTCTTTCGAGTGGTTCGTGCACAACCAATTCGACGACGGGACGCTCGTCGGCGAGGCCGTCTTGAAGAGCTTCGAAATGGAGGATGTGGACCCGCTTCGGAACGCTCTCATCCTGTCGGCGAACGCGGCCGTCTTCCAGGCGGCTTATTTCATGGTCCTGAAAGTCTTCCACACAGGGAAGCGTTGAGGGCAGGTTTGCGGCAGCGAAGAGTCTAGCGTGGCGTGAATGCTAGTCGTTGCATACCGATATGGAAGTCGCGGGCACAACGGTCAAGAGCAGCAATCCGCCCTGCTCATAGATGGACACCAAACCTGGCCTTTGTTTTGCGCGCGCAGCGGTTCTTTTGCGATGCTGGTTGTTGTGTCTGCTGTGGAAAGCATGTGGAGCCAACCGCCAGTCTGTACAATATGCAGTTAGGCAGTTGCGAAGCACTACGTTGCGTGCGCGTGGAGCTCGCTTGGAGCTGGAGCGCATCGCAGTCATGCAATCCAAAGCAAGAATCGCCCCCACCCCCAAGATGACACGCTTAGACGTATCACGCTGGATTTACATACTCTGTTTTGCATTTAGGGTTCTAACTCCCATAAGTGGAACAGTCGTTGCATTCTGCCATCCTGAATTGCACGCCTGCTGTAATTTGCATCTGTCGCAAAGCCCGTTGTAACAATGTCCGTTGCTACTCGGTGTGGGTTCATCCTCCCACGCGTCGGACCTTCGACGCCAATGTGCATAGGTGATGGGCAGTTGCCGTGGCGGAAGAAAAACAAAGACAGCCCAAGAGGCCGCCAAGACGGCCCAAAACGGCCCCAAGACGGGCAAGAGCCCCGAGGAGGCTCCCGAGGCGCCTCCGACAAGTCCCAAGATGCCACCAGGAGACCCCAGACAACAAATGCAGAGGCCCCACCCCCCAGAAATCCCAAAGAACCCTTCAAGAACGTCCACAAACGGCGTAGAAAGAGACTTCCAGCATGGTTCTGCCAGGCTCTTGAGGGGCTCTCGGGCATCCCCCCTTAGGCTGCCCAGGGTCCTCCTCGTGGCTGCCTTGCGCGACCTCCTGGAGCCTTATTCAGCGTCCCCTGAAGCGTCCATCAGGAATTCTTCACGCTTCGCGTATCCCCACCAGCCCATCTCAAAACAGCAATTCTTGCGAAGCATGCCGACAGTCGTGTTTTTCAGGCGTGTTTCCGCCTGCCCCCGCATATCTCCCATGTTCCTCCTTCCTCCCGCCTCCTTGTACAGCCTTTTTGTGGTGGGAGCGGGAGAAGGACGAGGCGGAGGAGGAGGGAGAGAAAGCGTTCCTCGTGGTTTGAGTCGTTTGGGGTTTCTCGTCCTGGTGTGAGTCGTTCGGGCCCTTCTTCCTGGTGTGAGTCGTTCGGGCTCTTCGTGGTGTGAGTCGTTCGGGCTCTTCGTCCTGGTGTGAGTCGTTCGGGCTTCTCGTGGTGTGAGTTGTTCGGGCCCCTCGTCCTGGTGTGAGTCGTTCGGGCCCCTCCTCCTGGTGTGACTCGTTCGGGCTCCTCGTGGTGTGAGTCGTTCGGGGCCCTCGTCGTGGTGTGAGTCGTTCGGGCTCCTCGTGGTGTGAGTCGTTCGGGCGCCTCGTCCTGGTGTGAGTCGTTCGGGCCCCTCCTTCTGGTGTGAGTCGTTCGGGCTCTTCGTGGTGTGAGTCGTTCGGGCCCCTCGTCCTGGTGTGAGTCGTTCTTGGGGGCCTCCCCAGGGGCTTCTAGGAGCGTCTTGGGTGCCTTGGGGGAGCCTCTTCGGGCCTCTTGGGGGCCTCTTGGAGGCCGTTTGGGGCGTCTTGGGGGGCTTTTGGCGGCCCCACGGGTTTCCAGGAGCGTCTTGGGTGCCTCGGGGGGGCCTCTCGGGGCCTCTTGGGGGCCTCTTGGGGGCATCTTGGCGGCCTCTTGGAGGCCTCTTGGGGCCTCTTGGGGCTCTTTGGGAGGGGTCTGGGAGGCATCTTGGGGCCATTTTTCGGGCGATCGATCACAGCTGGGGCGAGCACTTTTCTGCCCCCCCCGTCGGGGCCACAATCCTCGTGAGGGGTGTCGAATTTTTAGCCCTCCCAGGGATAGAAACAGGACCCTCTGACCACCCGCGAAACCCCCTCTCCAGGCCCAGGGGGAGGGGGTAGGGGGAGGGGTAAACCCCTCCCCGAAGGGGAAGAAGGGGGGTTGAGAACCGAGAGGGCTCGCTAAACCACTCACGCCCAAAGGGCTGGTGGGACTACTACGTGGGCTCCACCAAGCGGGCCACGCAGTTCTGCAGCGACGCCATGGCCAAATCGCCACGCGGAGGCCGCGCAGTGGCGCGGGCGGACTCTCCGAACACTACGGGTGGTCAGCAGCAGGGCGGCGCGAAGAACTTACCGATCCTCGCCCAGCGAAACCAGCGCCGCAACGGCCAGGACGAGCAGATCTCTGGCAGCATGGAGCACAGGCTCAACCTCGCCCACACGAGCGCCCTCACCGCCCCGAAGTTCTCCGAAGAAGGCCTTTCTCCAACGCAGTGGCTGGTGAACGGGCTTCAGCGGCAATACGACCGACCGCCTCACTATCTCGCTCGGCACCTCAAGGCGAACACGCGCCAGAACCCGTGCGAGGAGATGGAAACGGCGCATACGGCACTACATCTCGAGCACCAGATCGACAAGGTAAAGAAGGCGCTCGATGCTGCATCAGGACTAGAGAGCATCTTTACCGATCGCTCCAGGCACCTCCACGGCCCGTTCCCATGGGAACACGACTACGAGCGCAAGCAGTTCGAAGAGACCGACGACTACTACACCAAGTGGACCAAGGGCGCGAGGGGGATGGGCTACGACGTCGTGGAGCCGCAGGCCACGCAGAGCCCGCTCCGCCAGAACACGACGCACAGCAACTTCCAGCCGCGCGCGCCGCGCGACAAGCCGAGCGAGCCTACTAAGGGCTGGGAGACCAGGTACTACCAGGTCACGAGCGAGAGCGGAGACATCCGCACAAGGTGCAGGTATGCGGCGGCGGCGGCAGGAGGGGGCCTTAGCATGGACTGAATTGGAGGCCTCGAGGCAGAGTCACAACGGCCAGAGTGAGAGCTGGTACTACATTGCCAATTCAGACTACTGCTGGGATTTTAAGCTCGCAGGGGCAGTCTAATCGTATCCAGAGCAGGGCTCACCAGAAGTTCGACTTCTACTACTGAGAGCGGCTCTGCGACTAGTCTGCTAGCACTCCTGCCATCCAGTGAGACGGCCATTACATCGCATACTGACGCAAGTGCTGTTATTATCTTTTTTTTTTGCGGGAGGGGGGGCGTGGAGAGTGCGGAGGCGGGGGGGGGGGGGGGCGAAAGGTCCCCAGAGGCGCGGCCCCGCTCGCAACGAATGTGGGCACCCGCACCTCCTGTTTTTGTTGTCCTGTCCGTTCCCCAGCAGGGCAGGGCCACCTGCATCGGGGCAGTGCGTCCCCTATTTCTGCGCGGGGCGCGCGCTCCCCAGGCTGCCCCGAGGTTCAAGCGATCCAAGGGCGCTGCATCCACATGCTACCTACGGAACCCAGGCCTATGACTAGTTCCAGGGCGAGCGCCCCCCGACGGCTTTATCCTTGTCCTTATTATCCTCCCCCTCCTCC